TAGACGTGGCTTATATACTGTAGTGAGGTGACGTGAAGCAGATGGAGGCGGGGTCATAGTGGTACCATCCACTAGTCGAAGTAGGTCTTCGTCCAAAGGTTGAACAAGTGTTGAAGAATTCTTTGTAACAAGACCCCATGATGTTTGCCGTGTCTGACAGTTGTGATGAATGGTTTGAAAAAACCGACAAGTTGAAGATTGAGACACTTATGCAGCATATGGGAATCTTTATTCAGGAAACGTTTCCCCACACAGGGGTTTTTTTTAAAACCCATTCATCACAACTGTCAGACACGGCAGCATCATGGGGTCTTGTTACAAAGAATTCTTCAACACTTGTTCAACCTTTGGACGAAGACCTACTTCGACTAGTGGATGGTACCACTATGACCCCGCCTCCATCTGCTTCACGTCACCTCACTACAGTATATGACCACGTCTACGGCCCTATGCTGTACATTCATAAAAGATTGATGGACTGAACACATCGACTCCAGGTTGAGGGACTGATTACCTCATTCTCCTCCTCTCCTTACGCCTTCCTCTTTGTATTGGACTGATGAAGCCCTGTGTGGCGAAACGTTTCCCGAATAAAGATTCCCATATGCTGCATAAGTGGGCTCAATTATATTTCCATTCGTACACAACTTGTCAGACACTGCAACATCATGGAATCTTAATTCTGAGGACAGGGACATAACCTTCACGACTATGACAACTACTACTACAACTAACCCATCTCTTGGAAGGACCTACTTCCACTGGGGAATCCCGCCCCCACCAGTGAATTTTCCCTCGTCTGCTTCACCCGACGTTACTATATAAGCGCCAGGATTCTTTCTTCTTTTCTTCAGAATCTCCACGAAATATGGTTTCCCGTTTGCACCTACTCCTAGGTTGAGGGACTGATTACCTCATCTTCTGTACATAGTTCTACTGTCTTCAAGTTATGTCCTAGAATTTGTATTGATAAAAACCACTGGATGGCGAAACGTCTACAATAAAGATACCCCGATGTTGCACAAGTGTCTTACTCTCATCTTGTCGGTTTATATACCATTCGTACACAACTTGTCAGACACTGCAACATCATGGAATCTTAATTCTGAGGACATGTACATAACCTTCACGACTATGACAACTACTACTACAACTAACCCATCTCTTTGGGAAGGACCTACTTCCACTGGGGAATCCCGCCTACCAGTGAATTTGCCCTCGTCTGCTTCACCTGACGTTACTATATAAGCGCCAGGATTCTTTCTTCTGCTCCTCCGGTCATCAGTCGTTCAACAATCGTTGTTGTTGGTGTTGGATGTATCAGTATGTCGTTCGTTGTTGTGCGTCATACAGCTAGTGTTGGCTCTCCTCATCGATCACAGTCAGAGTTGCTCTCCTCACCGGGTGGTGGTTACTGGACCTTCGTCTTCACCATCAGGATTGGTGCTTCGGTGGCTGCCTGCACTCCTTTTGTTGTCTGAAGTCTCCACGCCTCAGCCAGTACGTGTGATCTGCACGCCATACAGCCAGTGTTGCCTCTCCTCACCGTTCAGAGCATACAGTGCTCCATCAAGCTACAGCTCACCTCCTCAGTGTCCTGTGCCTCCAGAGACGGACTCCACAAGAAACTTTAAAGTTATAACCAGGCAAGTACGTTTGGGTGGTGGTTACTGGACCTTCGTCTTCACCATCAGGATTGGTGCTTCGGTGGCTGCCTGCACTCCTTTTGTTGTCTGAAGTCTCCACGCCTCAGCCAGTACGTGTGATCTGCCGCCATTTACAGCAGTGTTGCCTTCTCCTCACCGTTCAAGCAGCTACAGTGCTCCATTCAAGCTACAGCTACTCTCAGCTTGTCCGTGCCTCCAGAGACGGACTCCACAAGAAACTTTAAAGTTATAACCAGGCAAGTACGTGTGTCTACTTCACACGTACTTGCCTAACCAATTATTCTCTCAGATTTGGCCGCCACATCTAATTTACGATGCCTTCAATGCCATCCACTTCCTTCCCCCTTACCACTCCTTCTTTTTTTATAAAAACTTTGGCCAAACTCTGTTCATACTCTGTCTACCTGGAGTTTACCTGGAGAAGAGTTCGGGGAGTCACGCCCCCGCGGCCTCGGTCTGAGACCAGGCCTCCTGGTGGATCAGAGCCTGATCAACCAGGCTGTTGCTGCTGGCTGCACGCAAACCAACATACGAGCCACAGCCGGCTGATCCGAGAACTGAATTTTGGTGCTTGTCCAGTGCCCAGCTTGAAGGACACCTTCAGCCAGGGGGTCTGTTGGTAAATAAACCAACTCCTTATGTGTGCTGGGAGGATTACAACAGACCCCAGGCAGTTTCAAGCTTGACTGGACAAGCACTCTAAAGTCAGTTCCTGCCTCTAACGCCTACCTGCGTCTACCTCTTACAGAACACAGTTCTTTCTCGGATTTACCTCAAATACTCTAAATTGATCATGCCACTATCTGTCTGGAAATTTATTATACCAGAATCACTGGCGTCCTCAACTGAAAAGTCTTTAAAACATATCAGGCTTCAAACTATTCTTGACAAACATGCTTACGAAAGTACACTTCATACCGAGGACCAGACAAAAAAAACTTCTCAAGCAGTGTTTCAACCATTATTTGGACTCCTGAGCCACCGCGCAAAAGCAGTGATCGCAAAACACGTAGGAATATTCTCTCCTGACTGCCTATGACACCAGACAATGAGGACTTAATCCGAGGGACATTGTCTAAGACAAAGTCTCTGTTGACGATATTTACAGACCTGAAAACTCTACCATCCTCAAAATACGCTGTTCAACTCCTTCTGACGCCTCTACACTCTTCAATCAAGGAATCCTTGCCAAGACCATCCGCATTCCTCCAAACTCTCTCTTCACTCCGAACTTCCACCCCATCACACAATGTCTGAAATGCTACAAATTCGGCCACGACAAAATCTCATGCACTTCCACACAAACCTGCTCCAGATGTTCAGCAACTGGCCACTTCTGGAACACTTGCAACCTCCCCCTTAAATGTTCTAACTGCGGCGGGTCACACACTGCAGTTGCAAACTCCTGCCCTACTAGAAAAGACATTCTCTCCACCCTCAGAGCCAGCCAACCTCCCTCCCTCCCCAACCCCTTCCCTGCACCTCCCTCCCCGGCACCTCCCTCCCCTTTCATACCTCCCTCCCCTACCCCCAATGCCTGGGCCACCCCACGCACTTGGTCTACCTCTTCTACTCTACACACATCAAACACCAACACACAGACTACAAGCACTTCTCCTTCTACACCTACACCCACACTAGACTACAAAACTAACTGTCAACTCGCCACTGCTGCCCACTCTGCGATGGTAATCTCACAAGCTTACCAATCAGACTACTCACATGTCCTTAACCTAATCTTGTCTGCTAACAATCTTCCCTCTTTAATTATCCCTCCTTCCTGCTTCTCTTCTAAGCCTACTACAACCTCTCCCTCCTCCCTCTCTCCCCCCCCCACTTCCTACTCCAATCAGCTTTCCTACTCCCGTACCCCTCTTCACTACTTCCACACCTCCCACCAACACCCCTACTGCTGCTGCTACGACCACCCCTCCCCCCACTTCCATCCCTCCAAACTTCCATCTCACCCTTACCATAGCTTCCACTTCCTCATCCCTTACCATAGCTTCCACTTCCTTATCCCCTACCAAAGCTTCCACTTCCTCTGCATCCACCTTTGCCCACTCCTCCACCACAACCAAAACTTCATCCAGGTCCAACTCCACCTCCTCCAGACAAAATCCACTCAAACCTAAACCTGCCCCAACTTCTGACAGACAGACCAAAGAACATAAAAACAGATCCATCTCTTCCTCCCCTTCCAGGAAACGGGTCCGTAGCACCTACAAACACACATCCACTGATGGCACCACTATCAAGGGCTTTAATCCAAACTCCTCCCCCGACATTAACTTTGCTATGACGAAACCATTAAATCACGTTTAAGGTGATTCAGTTCAACGTACGTTCTTACTTTACAATTAGACACCTACTGGCCGAGCTACTTGAAGCAGAGAGGCCAGATATTGTTTTGCTAAACAGTACCTGCCTCAAAGCCCCTCAACGCATCCGCCATTATGGTTATACTGCACTACAGTCCCCCTATGATCCCCACGATGGGGTTGCCATCCTTGTTAATTCCAACATAAAACACGAATTTCTCCCAATCCCTTTTTTTCACCAACACTGTCTTGCAGTCAGAATACACACCCACCTCGGTCCCTTTATCTTTTTCACCACCTATGCTCGCCCAAACACTATTCTCAACATACACGACC